TTTTAGTAGAGACGGGGTTTCACCGTTGTCAGCTAGGATGGTCTCAATCTCCTGACCTTGTGATCTGCCTGCCTCGGCCTCCCAAAGTGCTGGGACTAAAGGCATGAGCCACCACACTCAGCTGAGAAGGGTTACTTTAAAGCATAAAAGTAGTGCTTAAAAATGCATTTTGGCTGGGCATGGTGGCTCACGCCTGTGATCTCAGCTACTTGGGAGGCTGAGGCAAAACTGAATCCGGGAGGTGGAGGTTGCAGTGAGCCGAGATTGCGCCACTGCACTCCAGCCTGGGTGACACCAAGAGTCATCAGTGGTGGTCTGGGGGAGATGCCGCATTTCTCAAAACAAGCTTTCCCTGTCCCTGAACTGAAGAACAGGGTTTTCACTCTGAGCAGCTTTTGCTTTTTTAGCTTTTAAGTTACAGCACTTTCCTTTTTTTTTTTTTTTTTTTTTTTTGTTACGGAGTCTTGTTCTGTAGCCCAGGCTGGAGTGCAGTGGCGCCCTCTCAGCTCACTGCCAGCTCTGCCTCCCGGGTCCACGCCATTCTCCTATCTCAGCCTCCGGAGTAGCTGGGATTACAGGTGTGCACCACCATGCCCGGCTAATTTTTTTTGTATTTTTAGTAGAAACGGTTCCACCGTGTGAGCCAGGATGGTCTTGATCTCCTGACCTCGTGATCCGCCCACCTCAGCTTCCCAAAGTGCTGGGATTACAGGCGTGAGCCACTGCACCCGGCTAGTTACAGCACTTTCTTGGTAAGAAAGATATAAAACCTAATGAGGATGAGCAGTGAATTTTGGTTCTAAAGACAAGTCCAGCCAGCTACTTGTTTAGGTTACTTTTTCTTTGGGTTTTTCTGTATTTTCTAAACCTCCTGTGATCTTTGCAATCAGAAGGAAAAGGGAAACTTTAGCTTAAAGCAAAAGCAATTATCTGAAGGCTCTTGTGTGCTAATCACCCACAGATGTAATCGGTATCCAGTGGATCCTCCAACAAAGGAATTTCTGCCTCCTGGACCCCTCCTACCTACTGGAGCTCTGGGTACCCTCCCATCCATCCATCCAGCAGGACAGTTTGGGGCTCCCTAGTGGGATACCAGGCACACAATGTGGAGTCAGGCAGACCAGGTTGGAATAGATGTTGGCAGTGACTGGCTGTGAGAAGTACATTTAACATGTCTCAAGTTCTCCCCATGTATTAACTTGAAGGTTGGACTAGAATGACCTAGAAGACTAGATTCTAGAGGGTTGCCAGATTTAGCAAATAAATAAAAATGCAGGATGTCCTTAGTATTGCATGGAACATACTTAAATCATCTGTTTATCTGAAATAAAATTTAACTGGGTCATCCCCATTCTGTTTAACCCTTTATTCTAGAGTCTTATCTCTAGCCTGCCACCCTCAGAGCAAATACAGTTTCATCCTGTGACAAGTGAGTCCAATCAGTTCACCCATATTTAACTGCAGTTTGAAAAAGCTGGAACAGTCTCTTGAGAAAATGTTCGCTGAAAGTTTTTTTTTTTTGAGATGGAGTTTAGCTCTGTCGCCCAAGCTGGAGTGCAGTGGTGCAATCTCGGCTCATTGCAACCTCCACCTCCCGGGTTCAAGCTATTCTCCTGCCTCAGCCTCCCAAGTAGTTGGGACTTTAGACGCATGCCACCACACCCGCCTAACTTTTTGTATTTTTTTTTTTTTTTTTTGTAGAGATGGGGTTTCACCATGTTAGCCAGGATGGTCTTGATCTCCTGACCTCGTGATCCACCCACCTCAGCCTCCCAAAGTGCTGGGATTACAGGTGTGAGCCACTGTGCCTGGCCGCTGAAAGTCTTGGACTGTCTGCCCCCAGCCCGCTAGGGACTCTGGTCTGTCCCTACTGAGGACAGGTGGCTCAGGACAGCAGGGCTTTCCAGGCAGACATGGTAGGTCAGCAGCTGTCACCTGGGGAGAGCGCCTACCCTCCTTGAGTCACTTAGGGTCAACTGCTAACCCCCAGGCTTTGGTCTGTGTTGTGCTGGCTTAGCAGGGGGCCCTGGAGCTTCCATCTCAGTCAGTGTGCAACCTTGAGCAAATCACTTCCCTCAGGTGACCTCAGGCCAGCACATACAAGTGCTCAGCTGGAAGCAGGAGGGAATGAGGGAAATGTTGAGTGTGGGTAGGGCTTGGGGCCCCCCAGGAGATGGCATTGCAGGGGTTGGGGGTGATGATATACCAGGACCTGGGAGGAGCCCTCAACTGAAGCTGTTGCAGTCCCAGGGTCTGGCACATTAACTGGTTACTTGAGTGACCCACAAACAAATAACTTTTAATTTTTTTTTTTTTTTTTTTTTGAGCAGGAGCTGGGCCTTGATGGCCCCTGCCCCAACCCCAAGCTGCATTTATGATACAACCCATCACAGCTGGATTTTAAAAATACACAAAAAATATATATAATATACATTATAAAACCTAGGTGGGGTTTGGAGGTGGCCTGAGCGATATGCAAACGGTGAGGACCTTCAGGAAGCTCGGGCAGGGTCGGGATAAGGAAGGGAAGGGGCACAGTACTTCATATGAAACTCATAAATACCCACAGGTGGCTGCTGGACAGGCCCGGCTGGCTCTGGGGGCCTGGGTGTTGAGAAGGGGCAGCAGGTGAAGGGTTAACCTTCAGTCCCAGAACTGGGTCTGGGCGCTGCTACTCTAGGCAGGTAGACTGAGGTGGGGAAGAATCTAAGGGAGCAGTGCCCACAAAGCGTTTGTCAGATCCAAGCCTCAGGCAAGAGAAAACCCAAAAGCCTTCTGCTAGCCCCTCTCTCTGGGCCTCTGGTCTGCCCAGAGGCTGGGACTCCTTCCTCTACCTTGCCCTCAATCTGGAGGGTGCTGGGGGGTACCCCATCTTCCTGGGGCCCCTGGCTGGCTTGTGGGGTGCCAATGGGGTCTAGTAGCTACTGTGCTCCCCTCTTCATGCCCAATCTGAAACAGGTGCTCCCCTAACCCAGCTGCCCTCAATGAGGCTCCACCCCTCACACTGCAGAGCCTCTCCCCTACCCTGCGGCCAGCCCCCACCCCAGGGAGGTAGTGTAAACCTGGGCTCTGGGGACAAGCAGCCCTGGATGAGAACTCCAGCTCTGCCCACCTCTCCTGTGGGTCCCTCAACTTCCTGGAGCCTGGGCACTTCATCTGAAACCCAGAGACCCACACTCGCTGTGCAGAGTCTGAGGACTGCATAAGCCATGCAAGGAGTCTGGGCACCAGGCCTGGGACACAGAGGGGCAAAGATGTATGGTCCCCTCTGTCCTCAGCCCAACCCTGACCGGACACTCTCCTTTCCCAGGGCCTCCACTCACTGACTCCCTTGGTCTCCATCCTGCCCTCACCTGCCCATCACGCTTCCCCAGCGGGGGGTGAGGGGGCAGTGGCCACACATGCCGGAGGCTGAAAGTGTCCCCTATCCCCACCTCTCTGAGGTCACGCGAGGCTTGGCAGAGCGGGGTGATGGTGGGCCAGCGCCCCAGACAGGCTGCCCCACCGCTGAGCCCTCCTCTCCTCTCTTCTCCCACAATTAAAGCGCAGAACAGTGGCAGGGAGTGTATGTGCTGGGGTAGGTGGGGAGGCCTCCTGGTCCTGGGCCTGAGGCCTGGCAGGTAGATGAATCCTCAATCCTGGACCCCCACAGGGGTGCCAGGCAGGTGTGGAGAGGAGATGCTCACCCTGCATCCTTATGGAGGCGCAGAGAGCACCCTAGTCTTTGACGAGCTTGTAGACGTGGTGCTGGGCCCCGTGCTCGCTGGTGGAGACTTCGAAGACAAAAGCAATGACAAGCAGGGTCTCCTGGGAGTCCCGGCTCGTGACCACCTGGGGGGCGAGCAGGTAAGAGATTCAGGAGGTCAGGGAGAACACGGCCATGGGGCAGGGGGCTGAGCAGACCATTCTCCTTTCCGGATCTGTGCCTCTCATCCCAGCGATGTGTCTGGCTACCTAACTTGGAGGCCCTGGCCTGTGGGACTCCCCACAACCCTGCTGCCCCCATACCTGCAGGATGGTGAAGTTCTCCAGCACGCTGTTCATCATGTACTTCTCAGGCAGGTGCTTCAGCTTGTGAATGAAGTTGATCATGTACTCGCACATGGGCGAGCGGTGGATACGGTACACAAAGCGCCCGTTCTCCAGCCTGGCGTACTCAGTCTGCAGAGAACATGGAGAAGGCATCACTCAGCCTGCCTGCTCCCAGCCCCACCAAGCCACCCAGAGCCCACACTCACCTCCACCTTCTCTACCACCTGTTTGCCAAAGGAGCACACCTTGGTGGAGACGCTGATGGTCATACTATCAGCAGAGCTGTACTGAGAGCTGACCCCATAGAAGGCTCCCGGGCCCTCCTGGATGGTGCTGTTGAGGTCGGCCTGGGCATAGGGGTCGGGGGTGTTAGGTGCTGGCAGAGACCAGAAGTATTCCCACCACACCACATCAGAGTCCTGCCCAAAGATCCATCTCTGGCACTCTGCTCACAAGCCACGAGGAGATGGAGCAGGGTCAGAGGTCAATGCAGTGGGCCTGGATGTTGCACCTCTGTGGTAGGGAAGGGGGCTTGGAGCAGAGAGGGCCAGGGGGACTCACCCAGAACTTGACAAGGAAGAAGGCATTAGGGGGCCCCTTCTCATAGAGCTCCTTCAGTCCCCCCTTTTTCTCGGGGAATTTGTCATAGATCTGGCGCACGTCTACTGCCTCCAAGGGTGGGTCTGAGAAGGCGGGGTTCGTCTGGCCGATGTGCACAAACAGGTGTTTGCTGTACTGTGGGGAGGGCCCAGACAGGGTCAGGAGAGTACTCAGGCTTGCAGGCCCAGAGGCGGGGAAGGGAGCACTGCACAGGTACAGAACTGCCTGGAGCTTCCTGAACAGGCCGGACCCCCAATCCCAGCATCCTGAGTTGCAGTCCTGGATCACCTGGCTGGCCTCTCCACAATTGTGCAAAGGCTCACTCTCACCCCCAAACACATTACCGTGTCAGGGTCTCGCTGCACCTCCATGAAGGCTGAATACTCAAGGAGCCGCAGCCGGGACGAGGCAATGGTACGGTCCTGCCACACAGGCACAGAGGCAGCAGCTGAGGGGAGCGGGGCCAGGGGCTCATAACCTGGGAGGGCGAGACAGATTCTCATCTGCATGGACGCATGTAGGTGCTTACTGACAAAGCTGCCCCCAGCCTGCAAAGGTGCCCCTTTTGGCAAGGAACATGGGTTGGATTTTGACTCCCCTACTAGGTGTCCTTGTACAGTGTACAACCTGCACAACCATATGTGGTGGCCCTAGTAGTATACATCAAAAACATTTCCTTGTGTGACTATTAATGTGTGTTTAAACAGGAAACACAGAGAAGTAAAAAAGGGAAAGAACAATTACCCAGAATCCCATCATCTAGAGAGAGAAAGGCTTGTTAAGATTTCGGTGCATTTCCTTATTGGGAGTTTCCTACCCATAGAGATGTGTATAAATGTAGGTTTTGGTGGTGTGTGCTTGTAGCTGTGTACCGGCTATGGTTTTTTGTTTTTCTGAGATGGAGTTTCACTCTTGTTGCCCAGGCTGGAGTGCAATGGCACAATCTTGGCTCACTGCAACCTCCACTCCCTGGGTTCAAGTGATTCTCCTGCCTCAGCCTCCCAAGTAGCTGGGACTACAGCCATGCGCCACCACACCCAGCTAATTTTTGTATTTAGTAGAGACAGGGTTTCACCATGTTGGTCAGGCTGGTCTTGAACTCCTGGCCTCAGGTGATCCACCTGCCTCAGCCTCCCAAAGTGCTAGGATTACAGGCGTGAGCCACCACACCCAGCTTGGCTATGGTTTTGTGCCAGAGATCTGGAACAACATTGTACAAGGTAAAGGGGCTATTCCTGGCCTGTCTCAGTCTCCTATAGATGTCACAACCCCCTCCCTCCCAAAGCAAACACACGCAGTTGGACCCCAGCTCTCCTGAGCGGAGGTGCAAGTGCCAAGGGAGAGCACCTCGTGTGGGGAACTTACTGCTGAGCGTCGGCGGCAGGGGCGGCTGGATGGGGTAGGCTGGCTGTGCAAAAGGCTTGATGCTGCAGACAAAAGCACAGTCTGGTGAGAGGGCTCCCTCTTCCCCACCTTCCACCTGGCCCAGCCCCTCTTCCAAGACCCCAGGAGCAAGCCACCCAGCCCTTCTGCTGAGCCCAGAAACGCATGCTGAAAAGCTAACTCGCAAGCTTTTGGTTTTCTTCACGTTTTAGCTTTTGTGAAATCCTGCTGCGTCTCCCAGCTGATCTGCGCATTTAATGTAGGATTTCAACCCTCCCCATGCCCCACCATGAAAAGCTGCTCCTTAAGCTCCTTAAGCTGAGGGTCTTTTGATGAAAGTTGTTTTAGAGTTGAAGAACCAGCACACTTGACCAAACCTGACTGGTTAACTGAGAGACTGCCTCAGAAACTGAGTGAAAAGTAAACAAAGGGACAGATGACAAGTGGACGCATGCTGATGAGAGAACGCACAGGTGAACAGCCAGAGCATCCACTCTCCTGTTGCCGCTCTCCAGCCTTTTTTTTTTTTTTTTCCAGAGACAGGGTCTCCCTCTGTTGCTCAGGCTGGAGTTGCAATGGTGCAATCAAGGCTCACTACAGCCTGGAACTCTGGAACTCCTGAGCTCAAGCAATCCTAGCCTGCCTCGGCCTCCCAAGTAGCTAGGACTACAGGCACGCACCTCACCCAGCTAATTTTTTTCTTTTTTGGTTTTTTTTTTTTTGAGAGAGCAGGTCTTGCCATGTTGCCCAGGCCTCCCACCTTGGCCTCCCAAAGTGCTAGGAATGATTACAGGTGTGAGCCACCACCCAGCCTGCATCCCTATCATCCCTCTATTTTTGAATTAATACTTTGCTCAGCTGTTGCCGGAGCCCAAATGGGAGGGAAGCCCTGTGCGGCTGCCAGGAGGAAGAGGGCATAGGACGATGAGCCACAGTACTCACTCCTGAGAGGGTCCAGGCTGCTGTCCCAGGAGAGGGGGGCTG